TTTCCAATTGGCACCGAAGTATTTTTTCTAATTTTTCATCTCCTGGGCATTTTTTGCAGGTCCCTCTATAGCAATCATTACTTTGTGACTCACATATCGTTGAAAGTAGGATGTCTCTGTAATTGTGAAAGGGTGAATCTTCCTCAGGGAGTTTTAGTTGGTTTAGTCGAGCCCCCATGAACATAAGTTTAAAATTTTGGTGCGTCTGACACACACATACGGAGTGGGTGCCTGAAGCGCCTGCAAGTACACATTCGGCAGGACGAAGCTGACAAAACTTGGAAAACCCGATGTTCTTGTTAGGATGGGTAGTTTTAAAAGCCTCATAAATTTCTTTTAGGGTGCCTAAAACAAGTCGCTTTTGCTTTTGTACCCGCTTGCCATCCTCAAGTACGCTCTTGTATTCTTTTGCTCCAGGAAGCTCACGGCTGATTTGAGGCTCTCTATAAAAACCCACTACTAAATCTCTCAGGTGATCGGGCAATATCTTGCCTTTTCCTGGATCTGGAGTACAGAGAATGCCTTTTTCTTTCACACAGTCTTTCATCTTTTCCACCATATATTTTGTGGCTCCGAAATAGGACATAATTTGTTGCTTGCTCCAACTTTTAGGTGACAATGATAATATCATAATCTTCCTGCTCATTTGTTTAGTCTTCTGAAATGATTCCTTAAGTTGTTTCATAATGTCTTGGCCAGCTCCCTCTAAATCAAAATCCTCGTCACTTAGCATAGGGTTTCCGATGTTATCTTCTAATATTTTTTGAAATGACTTACGAAACACCAAATTTGTTTTATTTAGTTTTTTCTTAACGTATTTACGTGAGCGCATCCTTTTTTTAGTTTTTATAGGTGACTGACCCAGTGCTGACAAACTTGTGTTAATTTTATCAACAAACCCTTTTATAGGTGAATAAACTGTTTCCTTAAGCTCGATAGTATCGGAAGGTGATGAACTACCGTAACCGTGGCTTTGAAGAGATTCAATTATTTGCAGATCAGAAGTACTTGGGCCTGGATCATGGGTTAAAGAAGAATTTTCCGGCTTTTCAGCCGCTATAACCACAGCATGGGACACAACCTCTTCGGCTTCGCCTTGGTTTAAATCATTGTCCTTAGCTTTAATTGAGATGACCTTTAACACTTTAACCTTACAAGTCGCACACAACTTTTTTCCCTCTAAAACCGTTGGGAGACTTTCTCTGCATTTCAAGCCACAATTCTTTGAAACAGTCCACAAACCCTTCGTTTTTTTTTTATGTGCATTAAAAGGATTGCAACATATTTTTTCAAAAAATTTATATTTATATTTGTACCGTTTTAGATGTAGGCGGCAAATGTTAGAAAAACCGGGGCAATTAGTTCTTCTTTCCAAAAGATAGATTTCATTCTCATTAAACGCTTTTCTCCTCTTGAAATGTTTTTCCTTAGAACACTCGACTTGATGTTTGACACCAACAGAGCAGCGTTGAAGACTTTCCATATTTATATTAAAAAGTGGTATAGTTAACGTTTGTTACTAAAAGGAATGTATTTTATTAATTTAATTTATTTTATAGAAATTATTACGTACCTAATTTTAACAATATTGTTGCAAGAATAATAATATTATAATAACTTGTTATAATTACTCGCTTACAAGCAAAGTTGTTTTGTTTACTAGGTTTTTGTGTAGTTTATTATAAAAAAAACTTTGTTTAATATCCCTTTACTCATTTTATAATATTTGTTTATTTTAAAACTTTAACAATTAAATTAAATTATGTTTTCTTTTAAAATTGATTATTTTTGAGAAAAAAATAAAAAAAATTTGAATGAACCTACTTTTGTTTAACGAAAATATTTATATTAAAGCATATTTTCTTTTTTGTTGCAGGTTATATGGGAAAATGTAAAGCTTATGACACATTATATGAAAATAATTAAATATTATTTTCTTTTAAAATTTAGTATTTTTAAGAAAAAAAAAATACCCAAAAATATTTTAGTACCTAGAATTAAACCCAAGCCCACTAAATAAGAACTAGATAGGCGCTGGGTATAAAGACACCGAATATTAAAAAAATCAAATCTCCCTTTCAAAAAAAATAACCCCTACCAAAATTTAGGTAAGTGTAGAAAAAGGTTTGCTTTTTCACATATAAAAAAATAAAAAAAATAAAAAGGGGTGTTTTTGAAATATTTAAAATTTAATTTTTCAAAATTATATATTTTAATAAAAAATTATTCAAATTTATAAAAATGTACAATAATTAAAAAGTATAGTCTTTTTTCTTTAAAATAAGACGTCGACCAAATCTCTAGGTCAATTAGGACCCAAGATATAAGCAAAACAATATACCTCTGATCTGAAAAGTTCCAAAAATGATACCCCCCATAAAATTCACAATTTTTATTCTTTTTTCAAACTTTTGCAGTCAGGTCTATTTGGGCCCATTTGAAGCCCATACAGCGATTTTCGTCAAAATCAGAGGGGGTGAGGGTCAAAACCTGCCTGATCTGACGTGGAATCCCCCCATTACAATTTTCCAATAAATGTACATTTTAATTTTCCAATAACTGTACATTACAATTTTCCAATAACTGTACATTTATTGGAAAATTGTAAGTTATATAGTAAAATAAAACACCGGCTCATCTTTAAATGGCCGCCACGCATAATTAACTTTTTGGACTTAACTCCTGATGGCTCTGAGGTACAGAAATAGGAAAAAAGCAGATGCAAATAAATTTAAACTTGTTTTTTTAAATATTTCTTTAAGTACATTTAAACTAAACCTTATAGAAAACCCTATAGAAATTAAGCATACAGGGTGATGCAGGGTGATTCACCTAACTTATCCATTAGAAGTTTATGGAGAACGGAAATATCGATTTAAAGTTTGTATAGTAATTATAAGGCAGTGTAAACTGTTTTTAAAAATTATTTTCCATCCGGTCTGTATTACCACTAATTGTAATGTTAAAAAGTTAATTTTTGGTGTACCTGTTAAATAAGGAGCACTCTATAGAAAGCCGTTAATAGTATTTGAAAATATTATACAGGGTATTTGGTATTTAGGTTGACTTTTTTGTCACTTTAAATACCAATAAATTTCTTATTTTAAACGAAACTACCACACAATTTTTAGATTATTCGACACAAAATTATGTTTTCTATTGAAATGATGCAGCATGCGTTGGATTGTCTTTTACAATTGTGTTACAATGGGTAATAATAATTACACTAATCAAGATATTCTAAACATGTTTTATACATATGGCGAGAGGTATCCCAATTTAATCCCTCAGAAAGTGAGACAAGCGTTTTCGGAATTGTCCCATGAAGAAAATTTGAGAACAACTTGTGAAGGTGTCTTGCGACGTATCAATATGTGTCGTAAACAATACTGGCGGGTACAATTAGATTTAGATTTGTTTTTAGATTTGTTTTATTTGTTACATTTGTTTATTTTTTCAATATAATTTTTCAAATTGATAATTCTTTTAACGTTGTTTAATACGAAATAAAAACAATCCAACGTACAATTCTGATTAAAACTTACATTAAAAGCGCCAATTTTTGTTTCTAAAACTTTTCCGCACTCCACCAGTGTAATTATTATCACCAATTGTAACACAATTGTCAGAGACGTTGACATTGATATTACTTTATAAATAACAAATAAAAGACAATATAATGCACACCACTTATATTAGAAATAAAAAAAATAAGCGTTTTTTTTTTAATTTTTTGTAATAAATCTGTAAATAATCATATTAGGTATAGGAAATGCTGCAGCATTTCAATAGAAAACATTATTTTGTGTCGATTGATGTGAAAATTGTATGGTAATTTCGTTTAAAATAATAATGTTATAGGTATTTAAAGTAACAAAAAAGTCAACGTAAATACCAGACACCATGTATAAAATTTTCAAATACCATTAATGGCTTTCGATTAACAATGACACCAGAAATTAACTTTTTAACATTACATCTAGTGGTTTGGCGGTTTAACCAAAAGTGGTAACACATTAAAAATAATTTTAAAAAAATAGTTTACATTTTAAAATTGCTATACAAATTTCAAATTGATAACTTTTCCGTTCTCAATAAACTTCTAATGAATGAGTTAGGTGAATCACCCTGTATATAAAAACGTTAACGAGTCAGTCAAACCGTTGTTCGCTCAAACTTTTAAGGGCCAAAACTTTAGTATTTTTAAAATCTATTTAGGTCTTGTTTTACTTTTTCTACTATTTTTTAGGGTTCTTTAAAAATATAGCTAGTAATATGAGTAATAATATAAGGTTTGATATTTTTGCCCAATTACTTCAACTGGACTAAAACTTAAACCTAAATGAAATGGAATTTCCTGATAAAAAATATGGGACTTTGCTGTGTTTGATATTAGACCCCTGATATGTTTTATTTTAAAAACTGTATGTTCAAGTAATTTTATTAATGTAAAAATTACAAATTCGAATATAACTTCAAATTTCCACTAAAAAAATAAAACTTACATTTAACAATTATGCATAAAATAAAAAGTATATCATCAGAAAAACCTTTAATAGTATTTAATTTCATCAAAATAAGAAATAAATAGTTGATATACATATTATTATATATTATATTAATATACATTGAGCCCCTAAACTTTTAACATGAATACAAAAAGTGTATATTAAGTTTATTGTTTATACGACCCAGGTTTATAAACATAGGTCGTCAAAAAATAGAATTTTTTAAATATCGTACATTTTTTGACGTATTGCATTAAAAAATGTTTCGGAGTGTTTAAATTAATCAATTTGAACACCCTGTGTCTCGAAAACTAACTTGACGACCTATGTTTATATGAACTTTTTGCATTCATTTTAAAAGTTCTTTCATATCAGTAACTATTGTTAAAGATATGCAACAAAAATCAAAACCCTGACTATTATTGTAGAACATTAAATTAATTATTATTTTAAATTTTAAATAAAGTACTAATTTGTTTTTCTTTATTTTAGAAAGAACATTCCGATATAACATGATGCTGGAAAAAAGGCTCTACAACCCGCTGTTTCTTCTATTAGCCTTAATACTATGTGTAACCATAATTTTTTACGTTTTTCGAAAAAAGCCAGAACGAATACTAGCCTATAAATTGCATTCCAGCAATTCCAGTTATACTTATCCGATACATAATTTGCCTAAAGATGACTACAACCGTTTAATCGACCTTAATTTTACTTTTAAAATTATAAACTACCCCTGCAATGATTCAAATCCGCCACTTTTGTTGGTACTGGTGCATACGTCTCCGGATAACCATGTGAAAAGGAGCACAATCAGAGACACCTGGGGTAAAAACGATAACGAAGTTAAAGTTTTGTTCGTAATTGGAGACACCAATAATACGAGCACGCAAAACCAAGTGCTCGAGGAAAATTTGCAGTATGGGGATTTAATTCAAGGAGATTACATGGACGCGTACAGGAACATGACCTACAAGCACGTGATGATACTGAAGTACGCAATTTATCATTGCCCATTAGCCAAATACATCCTTAAGACTGACGATGATGTTTTTGTTCACATAAGAGGAATGAAGCATTTTCTTAGTAATAATTTATCCTTGCTTGGTGCCAGTAATGTGCTATTTTGCACGACAAGGGAGCACACTATAGCCCTGAGATCGTACAGATCGAAATGGAGGGTAACGTTCAAGGAATTCCCCGACAAGTACTACCCGACGTACTGTCCCGGTTGGAATTTGCTCTACTCGCCCGATGTCATATTTAATTTGTACGAAGAAGCTCAACAAGCGGACTACTTTTGGATCGACGACGTTCATATAACCGGCATCCTAGCTAAAAAATTAAACATTGTTCACACCAATATACAACCACTTGTTGTATCTAGTCAAAATCTTTATTATATAGAAAAATCGTATAATATAACCCAGCCGTTTCTTTATGGCCCTTATAATTTAAATGAGAACACTATTAGGACTTTGTGGAAATACGCCAATACACATCCCACGCCAAATTATACAGGGTGGGAGGATTTTAATTGAAAGAACTGATAATTTGTTATGATTTTTAAATTGAATATCATTGTTCCTAATAGTTAAACTGTATAAAAACATAGGAAATTGATAAAAACCCAATTAGCTTTGAAAAATCCAGGCATTCTATTTTACGTGTTTTTATTGGCCGAAAATTTTTGTTTTCGCAATCTGCATTTTCTTTGTGTGGTAATTACTTTATCAAAACACATATCTGATTCATATCAAACATTTTTTGATGACGAATACATTTTGATGAATAAAATAATTTTTTATAAAACAATCCAGTATGTGGTACAAACAAGCTATACTTTGATTTTCAAAATTGAATAATAAGAATAAATTTACAAACTGGTTTAAACGTTAAAGATTCTACTCGGTATTTAACATTTTGATCCTTTTTTCCATCCATATATGTCGGCCCTGAGTACTAACTCTTTTAAAACAAATTTATTTCTGAAAAACCAGTTTTTATTAAAAATGTGTTGTTTACCCAAACCTATCAATTTATTATGGCATGAAGTTTGACCTTATACCCTTAATATCTTAACGCGATCATTATAAGATCAATATCTTATAACTTAAAATGAACTCAATTTATTAATTTAAAAAATGTGACCTAATACAATTGACCTCCACGAAATATAAAAATTTAACATTACAAAATCGAATGTCTGGACTAAAAGAAACATTTGTACAATATGAGAAAATTTGTTTCTTGCCTTATAATTTGTCGTGATTACGTGAATTATTTAATTTTGTTCCATTTTTTTTTATCTCTAACAAGTTTTAATCGCAATGCGATTATTGCATCCTTAAGTACAAACTTAAAACGTGTAACCTAACACGCCATAAAGTATTTTTATAGTATTTAATTTGTGATAATTTGTCTACACTAAATGAAATAGAAACTTTTAATTTATATTAAATGCATTTATTTTTTATTAATATTTATCCATAATGCGCGTCGTTTAAAAAAATTAAAACAGGTTTATTTTTATATTTAATAACGATTTTTGTATCTTTGATAAAAATATCAATAATTTTATTGTCCAATATTATTATATTTTGGTTCAATGAATTGGTCCCTGGCCTTGGATTTTATATATATAAATATATATAGGTACCTATACCTACCTTGTTTACTTAAACATGTCAATATATGTAGCACACAAAGGAATTAAAAGCAATTTATTAATTAAAAATGACAGAAAAAAACGATTAGTTTCTTTTTTAATTAAAACAATCCAGAATAACAAATGAAATATACAAGGTGTTTCTAGAAGTAATTTAAACATTATAAAATAGTTATTTTCGGGATGCAGATGTATGTATGTACACGGAGAAAATAAAACAGTAACCATGGTTACTGCAATGCATTGATGCGCAGAACAGTAATTCACTCAATAAACTATTGGAAATAATATTGAATGTTTATAATATTGCTTAAAAGTTGACAAGGAATTTTTAATAAAATATTTGTAATAATAGAATGAACATACAATATTTTTAAGCGGATCTTTCGCACTCATCAGAAAAAAATCGAAAAGCTTTGTAAACATATGTATATCCTATTGAAGTATAACAACTCATATTAATCAGAATAAATAATATTTTTCGTCGAGTATTGCGCTTATAAATATATTTATGTTATATTGATATATTAAATTGATATGACAAAAATAATCAATGCTGTTGTCAAAGAAACCCGTGAGGTTTAATTTTAAATTGTATGATTTCAAATAGTACATTGACATTGGCGTTGACATTGTATATTGAGTGCACATCAATGTTTATGTAGTGTTTTATTTCCTCCGTGTAGGTACAAAAATATTAAATGCATAATTTAACCATCTTGACTAATTTAATTTAATTTTGGTGTAAGCAAAATCTGATAATATATGAAGGGGTAAGAAGCAAAATGGTACAAGTTCATTTTAGCATAAAAATAAGTTAAGTCCAGAATTGGGTATTTTAGAATCCATTTTTTTTTTAATTTTCTCATAACGTAAAAATTGTACGACTTCTGCATGTTGATTAATGCAAACATTGAAACTTTTAGTATAATTTTGTTAAATTTTAAAAGATTTTAAAAATTAAAAAAAAGTCTTGGGACCTAAGAATTAAGCTAGAGAAACAAATATGAACAAAATAAATCATGTCTTTCTTCAACAATAATTTATATATTGTTTTACAGAAACCTTTAATAATTATTATTAATATTAAAAAATATATTATTATAAATATATATAAATACATTATTGTATTGAATTTTAAATGTCGATCAAATTATCTTGTACAAAATGTAGGAGATAAAAGTTGTCCCAAAATGAGAGTTTTAAAAGAGGTTTGTTTATATAAACTTTTTTCTTAAAATTACGTCTACAATCTCATTAGTACATGATTTAGAAACCCCCTGTATACAAAGTTGCGTTTATGATAATTTATATTAGAAACACAAAATTTTGATTAAAATTCCTGATATGCTTGTATATGACTGTTTGCGTGTATGCTTCAACAATTTCGTAATTTGATTGTATTGATCGCTTTTTAAAATGCAAGGCACAATTAAAAAAAGTACAATTTGATAATGTGGAACACTAATTGAGTTTTGTCTGATAAACTTTAAACACTAGAATGAGACTGGATATGCCAAGTAGATTTTGTAAAAGTATCAAAAGTTTCACAAATTGTTTTGTTAAAAACTATTGATGACATTAAATTCAAATGTGATATATTTATTTTTAACAGTTTGTGAAACATCATTGTAAAAAGTACTTAATTAAGGAATAGAAAAGTGCCTAATTATATTTACTTAATAGCAAATGTTAAATTTTTAGATATTTATTATAAAATTTATTTATTATTTAAGTCAAAATGTAGCTTAATATTATCACACATTAGTCATTTAAAGCAAAATTGTGCCAATTTTTAATGTTTCTAAAATTGTTAGTTATCAAAAACCAAATTTAAAATATATTGAAGTATGAGTTAACTATAATTACATTTATGTTTAATTTTGTGATATATACCTATATTTAATAAACATTTTAATTATGTTATTGGTTTAATTTATTATTAGTTGTATTATATCAATTAATATATTGATATATCCAAAGTTACAAAACCCATTATTATTTACTAAACTGTTAGATTTCTGCTGTAATAATTATAAAAAAATCCTTTTATGATGTTTAACTAATAATCATAAACAAGAATAATTTTAAATTACAATTTTTTAATTTAGTTAACTATGATCATTTTATATTCTAGTGAACTGGCCGGTACACCTGAGTGTCTTGCTTTAATTTATTTTTTCTACTCCCACCTTTAAAACGCCTATTATCGTACATGTTTCCATGACACTAAGTTAAATAAAGTGCCAATATTTAAAAAGTTTTTATTCAGTTGCACTGACCTTTTGATTTCGCCGGCAGTAAACTAAATTTAACTGATTTTGGGTAAATATTTCACCGTGGAGTGCCTATAAAACATTATCTTTACACTGTAAAAAACTGCTTCTACTGCTACTGCTTCTATCGGATTTAGTTAATCTTTTTTTAAGAGATAAATTTCGATTTGGACGTAAAAATTTGACATTTGACATCCCACACAGAACACAGCTTAAAATGGTTACTCAATAGTTATATAGATGTCGCTCTATACAGATATTTAATTTAAAACATTTTTAGATAATAATTATTTGTCGTAGAAAAAGTATAGTATACAACTCGTTTATAAACTTTTCTGGACACTCATTTAGTTAAGCTAAAATTAAATTCGTGACTAAAATGGCGTATCAAACTTGATACATAATATACTGTAATTAATTGATTTAAATACATTTTTTAGTATTGTGTAGCCTTTCTATTTTAACCAAGACCCATTTACTTTAAAAATAAATATTTGTTGGTAATTAAACAGGGGAAATGGCAAGTGCATAAAAATTCAGTCAAACTTTAGCCAAAATCGTCAAAATGAAGTTTTAGCCGTTTCTGTTTCATTTTTTAAATTTATAGAATAACTTTGCCAGCTGGGAAGTCATTATTTTGGGTGATATGAATATAAATCTTGTTAACTTAGACAATCCATTAACTAATTGGGTTCACGCAGATTATAGATAGGCATAACATAAAATGAATGTAATTTGTGTTTAGTCAGGGTTAGTGCTGAAAACCTTGTGTTTTTTCATAATATTTAAGTTTATGCTTGTATAAAAAATTTGTAAATGTACTTTATTTATGAAAAAAATAAACTTTATTATTATTATTATTATAAACCTATCGACTCGTATTAAAAAGAAGCAGTATTCTCACCCAGACAGAACGGGGTATTCTTAGAATATTCTTCAAATCAACTTAACAGATTGAGAGTATTCCTAATATTCTTGTAATATTCAAAGGATATTCGTGTCTATAAGTTACATTCATGGATAATTAATTTCAGTATATCCCAGGCACATAAATAATGTATCTGCTTATCTTATTTATTTTGGTATGTTTTTTTGGTATATTCCAAAAATAATCTATAGATAGGGGAGAGTGGGGAGGGTCTGGACACTGGGAGACAATGGACAATGAACAAATTTCGCGGTTCCAGTAAAAATTTCAGACTGGTTCTACTATTACAGATCGTCAAGTTGGTAAGGTATCAAATAGTGGTAGTGAAATAAGTTTGAGTTTAGCTGTAGAAGAGGTAAGTGGAAAGTTTATTTTTGAGTTTTTTCATGTAATATTTTACTTTCCCCTTGTAAGCTATTCTGCCCAGACCGTTGTAGATAAATAATTTAAAGTTACTACATATTAAAGCATGTATAAAGCATGGAACTTTTGTTATATCCTTACTTTATTCCGTTGCTATATTTTGAAATTATAAACATTTTTTTTGTTCCACATCATGTAGGGAGAGTTTGGACACACTGTCTAGAGTCTTCCTTTATTGTCCAAACATCGTCTCAGCACTTCGATAGCAGAATATTGCAAAAATTAAACCGAGGATATACAGTCAAATTCCTTCCATCATACAAATTTAAAGAAAAAGATAAAGATGAAGCCTTGGTGGATTTTAAGAACGTGGTATTGGTTCTTCCCACCCACTGACGGAGTTCGATTCCATAACATGATTTACTTTAATTTTGATTTGTCGCAATTTTGATTTGTGGCAATTTAGTATTGTAAAAGTTCTGCACTGATTTTTCCAATAAAATTCCTAAATTTATAATATTTTTATAGTGTCCAAATGCACCCCTTACGCTGTTCAGAATCTCCCCGTATGTGGGGTGACTTTGGACAGATAACCGAACATTTTCAAAATTTCGTAGCAAACCCATCTTACGGTTTAAAGTGCACATATTTATCTCTTTGCGTTTTCAGAAGTCAACACTATTACCTGAAACTTTGAAATTAGAAATAATTACATTTTTAAGAGACCCAGGCAAAAAAATCTAAAAATTGTCCAATGTCTACCCACTCTCTCCTACCTACTAATATTCAACTGTTCCATTTTTTATTTAGTCTAATTAG